TGGGCTGGTCCTTAAAAAATAAAAAAGATATGTTTAAAAATTTGCCAATCTTAACTTACTAGTTACTACATTTATTCAGTGTGCAAGGCGTAACTAATACACGTGATTAATGCTGTATACAGATGATCCGTATTATAAAGCTATGTTACTTTAAGTCAATAACATTTCCAAATGTAGACAAAATGGCTGGAAACCTCATATATCATAATCTATTAGTCATAACGTTTGTATGAAATACACCTTTAAAAGGCAAACCATAGTTTTAATTATATAAACTAGGAAAATTATTAAAATATCAAAAAAGTTGAATTTATATTTTTTGTTATCAAAGGAAATATTTAATTTATACATTTATAGGTTTTCATTTCTTATCAATGGTACTATTCCATTTGCTGAAATTTTAACGAGAACATTTTATACTTAATATCAAGTAACTATGAGCAGAAACGTCCATATATTTGAGAAAAATTATTACTTGGTGCAGCAAACAAATACGATAGTTTCACTAAAATTTGCATAACATACATTTATAAGAGATATGTAGTACCTAACGTAACACTTTTAAATAATTTAATAATTATAATTACCCATCGGCGTGTCTCTAAGAACAAATTTACCAAAATGAATGTTTTTAAAAAACAAAAACGTCTCATTTTTATCTGCAAACAATAATAAAAATAAAAGGCTTTTTGTGTTAGACATAGTTTTCAATTAATTATTGGCTCCGATGCGAAGCTGAGAAGGTTTTCGTTTTAAAATGATAACTTCTAAATCACTAAACCCATATCTTGATGTAGTTAATCTGTAGATCTGTGTAAAATTGTTGTGATATTAATGAAATTATCTTACTTATCCACTTTTTAATATAAGTTAATGAGTTAGGTTAGGTTAGATTGTATATCTAAACACAAAAATTAATAAATAGAAAATAAGAATAACTTAATAAAAATGAATTAATAACTTACTAGTTTTGAAATTCGGGTAGAACTCTGGTGAACTTGTATGTTAAATCAACCGTTTTATAGCGATTCGTTTTGAGGCTTGTCCTTGAAAAAGTAAAATCTGAATAAATTTGCTGTGCCTAAGTATATTTTAATTTGTACAGGTGTTAAGGAATGTTTAGGCTATGGTTTTTATTTTTAAACACAGTACTGTGTGCTATTCGCTGTGTTCACATCGATACGAAACTTTAAAAAATAAGACCTTAAATAAAATGGACACAGTCGTGTATTTTAGACATAACACTTGAAGTTATTTTATATGCTAATTAGAGCTACCGATTACACGTGTAGTTCACATACACATGTATGAGTTGTAATATACTAGCGTATTTCATAGGAACCAACTTCAGAGTATAAAATAAAACCTAACGTATATTATCTATTTGAAACCTAAATTTGGGCCTCTGGTTAAAATAATTCTGTACACGAACAAGATAATAATTGTACTACTTGTCACAATTCACAGATACAATAAAAAAATATATTTATATATATTTATTAATAGATATATATTTTACAGTTGTTATAGCATGTATAATGAAACGTTCTCCTCCTTAGGTCAGAGGGGTTTTCGCCTTACTATGTCATAAAACTCATCTTGGCTAATTTTAACTAATAAACCGGAAAACAGTTAAAATATGTAACTTTAACCAATTCGTAGATCACCGATTCAAAACAACATACTAGTGTCTCTATTTATGAATAGTTTAGTTGAATATTTGTTCTCACACATACAGGTTTATGATACGTTGGTATAATAAAAACGCACTATGCAGAACTTTTTTTTGTACTATTAATACTCAAGAAAGTCTTATTAATTGCCCGAATCTTAAAAAAAAAATTCAAGTATACCTTACTTTTAGTAGATGAAAAATAAAGAATTATACTGTAGTCTAAAATATGTTATTTAGAAAAACCCATAATTTGAAAGTAGTTCTGTTTCGTAGTTCTTATTAATTATGCAATGTAATTTATAACAATGAGCACAGGCCAGATTTATTACATATACTTTCAATAGTATCAATTTCAGTATTGAAAAGTTTTTTTTTCAATTGTGAGTTAAGATATAAGTTATGCGATAAGTATCTCAATCTAATAACTTGATACAAATCAAGTAAAACTAAGATTTTTCGAACACTCCATGTTTGTTGTACTATATAAAGTATGCATGACGCATTAGGGTATTGTCTTTTGCATAAACACGTTAATCATAAGTAACACTACAAAAAAAAATACTCCTCATGATATATATTGCTTGTAGAATATCCTACAGATATATGTTATTAATTATTTACATTGCTACACGCGTTGTAAACTATTCTGTTAGAAACACAATAAAAATTGAACATAAAGTTTAATAAAAAAAACTGCTTTAAATCACTTTTGTGAGTCATGACGCAATTTAAGTAACAAAAGTCCTGATTAATTGAACAAAAAATACGTTTACATTTACATTTAGCCCAAAGGTCAACGCAAGCAATAACCGAATAACTTGATAAAAACCATTTGAAATTAAATATATTTTTCATGTAGGCATCCAGGTTTCTCACAGCCTATAATGTTAAATTAAACAGCTTAAATTAAAATTAGTAAAATACTATTACGATAGTTATATGTAAGCCTGTGTGCACAGGTGCACATTTCACACATTTGACTGTACAGTTTTTTTATGAAAAACAAAACCAATCGCTTGAGATCCAAACGACATTATTATATTCGCTTCGTGCGAATTTGTATAATATTTTACATACTAGCGCCATTTTACAAACAGCAGAATTTATTATTAAATAAAATCACTATTTCTATAAATAAATTTCAATAGATAGATTAAGTATTGGCGAGTATCAATAGAAATCATGTCTGATTGTTACATTAGAGAGAAACCATTGTCTAAAAATAAAGTACCCAATGTAGCAATTCCATAAGATATTTATTATGAATTGATTACATTGTCAAGTGTGTATTAAATGTGAAAATGTGTTTAATTAGACAGCTTAAAGAAACAAAGACTGTGAAAATTCTTAAGAAATCAAAATACTTGAATTTCTTTCTTTATTTTATTTTCTGTAGGAGTTTTTTAAAGTTATATGAAGTTGAGTAAAATTTGTATTTTTTTTTTTTAAACGAAAAAACTCTACCTTAAATAGTAGAGCTTCTAACTCAAGTTATTTCCAATTAATACAAAATTAACTTTCCTTTGAACGTTATTTTGGCTTTCAAGGCATGTTTATTTGTTCTTAACTTTGTATTTATTTATCTTTTTTAGACCCATATACCTCCAAAATCGTTGGACCTATTTGTACCGTCTACATACATACATCAAAGTGTTTATTAGAAAGTTTTTTATTTCCACAACTGTATTATTATACCTGTTATTTTACCTGGTATTATTATACCTGTGATACTGAGTGATCAATTTAGCGTAGCACACTCATTTTCCCTTTATTTTGATTTTTTGGAATGGTTCATGATATAATATTAACATTAATGAATAAAATACCAATCAAGCAGAATTATATTTTCTATCCTATTCTGTGCATAATGAATATTATGGTGACCTGAAAATGTCCATAAAAATGATATGATTTGATCTAGTCTACGTATTTTGTAACACAATTTTGTGTTTTATGTAAACGTCAAACCAGTTTTTCTTACGAGTAGTTTTTTATGTTTTGCTATTTGATTAACGCAACATATTAATGGCTTAATAAATATTTAAGTGAAAATTTTTAAGGATAATTTAGTATCTCCAAGTTCTAACAAAAACCTAACAGTGAAAAGGGTCCTATCAAAGTATAGTGATATCTAAGCTGTGGCCAAGTCTGCTATTTCTTTAGTTCATAACCTCACTTCACTCCTACTTTCAAGAGCAACACTGCTCTTTTATATGTATTGCTTAACGCTAGGCCAGTTTCTGAATGAAACATTACCTTTTTGAATGAGGCATACTACAGATTTGGCCGCAATGTAGACACAACTAGTTTGATAAGCTGATTTTTCTGGGAGGGTTCTGACACTTGGCTCTTTTTCACTGTTAGGTTATTGTTGGAGATATCATTCCTTTTTGCTGGCTTCGGCATCGTAGGCGTCGCATTAATTTTGAGAAAATTGCAACTTTCAGATTTTTTTCTTTTACTTACAACGTAAGACCTACTTTTGTGCCAAAATTGTGCCAATTTCACGTTTCTATCTATACGGAAAGTGTTTTATAATTTTGATGAAGAGTGAGTGAGTCAGTAACAAAAATTATTTAAATGTATATGAATTTTCTATTTAAGTTATAAAAGTTTAGAGAACTCCGGAAATTACCAAAAATAATAATATTATTAATATTTATACAATTAATATAATAATATTATACACAGAAATGTATTTGTTAGGATATTATAACACTCGTATGTTAAACAAAGACAAGTGTGTTTATAATTAATATATTTATGTACAAATATATATTTGTATATATGTACAAAATTTATTTTCTTATTATGACAACTCGCGGGGTAGTTGGGCAGAATTAAAAGGGTATAAATATTATTTGTGAAATTTCCAAAAAATACAATGCTATTCGATTTTGGAATTGTTAGTACCTAATTTATAAATAAAACATTTAGTGGCTATTAGTTGGGTACATGTTTTTTTTTTCGTTCATAATAGTTAATATCTATAACTAAAATACAAAATTATATAGCTAAATCGTGTAATATATATATGTTTAATACAATGAAGAAAAATGGGCAAATACCCATAAAACAAAAAAAGGAGATGTAGAATTGTGTACGCTATAAAATTGTTAAAATTGTATAAAACAAACATTAGTTCAACGAGTGGTTTTTAAACCAATAACTGTGAAAAAAATAATTTATACTCCGCGTCTGACTAATGCAAACATAAAATAATAATGGAAAAAAAATAAGATAAATATGCCACTAAGTTAACATAGTCAATTCTGCAAAATATATTATACTTTAACGTTTCTGTCACATAAGCCTGCCGATTAGTTACAAGAAATCCACATCAGCGCATTCAGCTTAGCAATCTTTGTCTTACACGTTAATAGCATGGTTCCTTTATAAACGTGGCATTTGCTTTTAATGGCCGTGGAGCAATTCTTAAAGGTAATTTATTCATTTTTGACCTTGGTACCCACATAGTTACTACTCGAGTTTTTTCAAATTCTAAACAATACATTCAATATTTAACTTAAACAATTACAGAGGAATACAAGAAACAGGTTTTCCATACAAGTCAGTAATTTTTTTTTCTAACAAAATAACATTTATGTTTTATAATATTATACATATGTTTAAAATAATTCAATACAGATTACCACATCCGAGAGGCTATCGGCCAAGGTAAATTTTATTTAAAATTAGTATATCAATATAGAAATGATCACCACTTGTAGCATGGTGTGCTTTTACTCTGAAAAATGTTTTGTCTATTATGATTTTATTTGGTATATTTTTTTATAACTTAAATCATCATTTTTTTTCATTTCAAAGAAATTGGATAATGCAATTAAAGATATTATTTGTGGAACTGAACAGGGAAAATACAAATATTCTATGGGTAGTTATAATTACATATTGAACAAATGTATAATAGATAAAACACGGGAAATAGAAATTAGAATATAATATAATAATTTCACAACATCATATTAATATTCCTATGCAAGTTTATCAGTAATATAAATATTCAAAATCTAAAGACAGTTGTTCTGACAAAAAATACAGATGTTAACATAAACTATTTGATCACAAATATTGAATTTTGTCCTATACATTGTCTTGCCTAAAAGGGAAATAATCAATATTATTCTTTTAAATTTATAGAATGTAGAATAGAAAACCAAATCAAATATCGTTGAATTATAAGTTTATGTTAATGTTAATCTCAGTGGATATGGCTTTTATGATGGCTACTATACCGGGTAATAATTTTCTTTGAATTTTATAAAAATATTTCTACATGTATTCAGGATATTCAGTATAAAATGTTTTCGGTTTTAATTTCAGCATCTGTAAACCATTTCACCACTTCAGAACTGAAACGTAATTACTTTTATGTATTTTTATTTATCATAATTTACACAGAACCATATTATATTTTAAATGAACATACACAACGTGATCGACTTATCGTGAACCACTTAATATCTCACTGGTTTTCATAAGAAATTACATTATTTTCCTTACATAGCGTTTTTATGCAATGTGATCTCAAATTTTCATAATTTTTTTTAAAGCCGAGCTGGAAGTTGGGTAGATAATTTAGTTGATTGATATTAGGTAGGTTTATTTTTAAGAAGGTTTTTTAAAAATTGTGAGAAATTGAGTGGTTTACGATAAGTTGATCACCCTGTGTATCATACGTATATATATATATATATTCATAAAATGAACTTGTAATGCATATCTTTATTTTTACATTACAATATGTTCATAAGAAATAATATACATACAAATTTTTCTTTTTTTAATTTTATAACAATTTTGCATTTTATTAAAGAGGATGATTCAAAGAAATATAACTATTTTCTAAACCACTTCAAATCAAATCTGTGTACAGGTAAAAAGCAACAAATGAGTTTATAATCATAAGTAAAACGGTTTATTATAAGATACATTAAATTTGATAATTTGTATACAAATGTGGTTTGAAATAATTATTTAAATTTAATAACAATAGTACTGTATACATTTTAATGAGTTAATGTCTAAGATAAATGGTGTGATAAATGGTGGTATAATAACTGAGAATCAAGTGAATACTTTTAACTATATTAATGATGTTTATCTAATTAGTCTTACCCAATGCAACTGACGGTGATTGTTCTTCGGTCTTGAAAAGTTAGACGACACTGATCGCCAACAACTTCAGCTAACGTTACAAAAGAATCTGGTTGTAGTATACTTCTGTATATACCTTTCAACCGACACATCATGTTACGATCTCCAAAGTCTTCATGGGCTGGTCCTTAAAAAATTAAAAAAGGTATTTATAAAAATTTGCCAATCTTAACTTACCAGTTACTACATTTATTCAGTGTGTAAGGCATAACTAATACACGTGATTAATGCTATACACAGATGATCCTAAGCAATGTTACTCTAAGTCAATAACATCTTCAAATGTAGATAATATGACTGGACACCTTATACATCGCATAATCTATTAGTCATAACGTTTGTAGAAAATTTACTTTTAAAAATCAAACCATAGTTTTAAACATATAAACTAAGAAAATGCTTAAAAGCTACTTTTAGTTTGAACAGGTTGTAATATAATATTTTCCTTTACTCTTCGTTTTTATCGTTTTTTCAAAGTGAATGTACTTTGAAAAACGATTTTTAACAATAATATTGATGGTCGAAGATGACTACTGCGCCGTTACCAGATCTAAAATAATTTATTATTTCTAACTTCTTCTTAAATGATGAACATTTTTTTCCCAGAAGAATGTAATGTACAAATAAAGATTAACCGCAAATAAAAAAAAAACTGTAAAAGTCGAGTGAATCGAAATAGTTTTATTTATTCACAAATATTTAAGTATTATATTAAAAAATTATAACACAATTTTTTTTTCTAGTACAGAATGGAATTTACTTTCATACATTAAACTTGTTTAATAAATTCAATACAAAGCATACGTTTTTTGTAATATTGTGTTACTTCAATTTGTGTTTGTTCGGTCAAACAATAAACCGGTTTTGAGTGTACGCGTAAATATAATAATAGAGAGCAGAATGACCTAAATTAGCTACAATTAAATAATTTCGAAAAAAGCAAATATAATCTATAAAGCTAATTAGTCATCCCCAATGCAATTGACGACGGCTGTATTTTCGTGATTATCAGTTAGACGACATTGATTACTACCAACAACTTCAGCTTTTGTTACAAAAGAATCCAGCTGTAATATACTTCTGTTAACACCTTTCAGACGACACATTAGATTACAATCTCCATAGTGTTCATGGGTTGGTCCTTAAAAAGTTAAAAAAGGTATATTTAAATACTAGGAAAATGATTAAAATATCAAAAAAGTTGAATTTTTATTTATTTATTTTTTTTTAATGCTTATTTTATACATTTTCAATAAAATGACTATAGTGTGACCATCATAATTTTTTTTTAAAAAAACCATTTCATAGGTAAAACAAATTATTTATTTGTTGGGTTTTTTGTGTTGCCTCAGATATGACAATTTGTCTAATATGTTTTCAGAAAACTGAGACATGAAACGTTACTCTTAATTTGAATAAGTTATAAAAAATTAATGATTTATTTATCTTACAAAATAATACGCCAACAACAACTTCCAATAGTCGTCATGTTCAGATAAAAAAGTTTAACCCTTCTTTAATTCTTGCCTCAAAATAATTCTATTTTTTTTTTTTTGTGTAATTATCACAGGAAATAACGCGTTTTTATATATAGGTATACACTATACATGTACGTGTAACAAATATTTAACTATTGCAATTTGATATAATACATACTTGATGCAGAAAGGATAAATAGTTTTATAGCATCACGGAATAGCGATTTTCTATTTTCTTCAAGTTCATGCAACCCATATGGAGTATCAACATCTATAAAAGGTAATGAATAACCGTATAAAAATATTATACATAAAATACATATAGTTGCTCGTGTCATTAATGAAGTACAATTATGTAAGTTTTTGTTCAAATACTATTATGATGAACTAGTAGTAAGTGATTTTCCTATACTACTGTATTAATTAAACAAGTATATGCCTTGAAAATATTCACTACTTTTAAGTGCCAGGCAATATGTTTTAAAATTATAGCGAAGCTTGTTTCACAGATGCCATTGAATAATTTTGTTTTTCTTTTACAATTAATAAATATAACGTAAGAACAATGTTCACAGCATTGTCACTAAGCAACGACGTATCACTGGTTCATTTGCATAAATCAACGGTACATTTTTAATATCACAATACGGTTTTATAAGCTTTATTTTTATGTTTTATATAATTATAATAACTACCCGTCGAATCACCTGTGGGTCGTTTCCAACCCAACTTTCTCATTGCAGTACGTACTAGACCTAGAAAAAAATTTGAGAACATTCTTCTTATCTCAACAAACATTAATTTTAACAATTTTGTCATGACTATATTTCTAATATATATGAAAATAACAATTTAATATATTAATGTATCTAAACAAGGAATATTATTAAAGCTGTAAACAAATTGTTTAATACCTTATACCTTATCTACAAAACGTTATTTTAAGTTTGAATAAATTATAAAAAATTATTGATTTGTTTTTTTTATTTGAGTTTAAAGAACTGTCTACTATTTATAGTAGACATATTGTGAAAAATGGATTAGACGAATTTAAAAGTTGTTAGCACTTAACTGGCAGAATAACAAAAAATAAATAAAATCTTTATTCTTCTGCAACATTTTCACTTTAATTCTTGCCTTAAAATAATTCCATTTTTTGTTTAAATAACACAGGCAATAATAATATGTTTATATATATTTATATATAATTTTCTACAAAGACTTTTTTGAAGTATGAAATTGATTATTGGTCAAATTTTTTAATATATTGATTCATACTTCAAAAAAGTCAAAGCTCAATATCTCAAGAAATATCAATTTTAGATATTTATCTCAAAGATTATTTTATGTAGAAAATTAAATTCCCCATAAATGTGTTATTTATATTTTTTCTGTAAGTTTAGCCATTGATGAAATAAAAACAAAAAAAAAAGAAATTTATACAAAAATAGACTTTAGTGACCTGTACTAACCCACTAGTGTAAGATACAGTTACGTTGTAGTATGCACTTTTGTAGAACGCTTAATTATAAGTAATTTGCAACCTTGAACAATATGATAGCACAAAATACCGCTGAGTTATAAAAAATTTGAAATAACAAATCTAAATTTACATGTGTTTTAAACGGGAAATCTTCTCAGATTATTGTAGAGCACGTAATATAAAAATTAAGTGCTCATATTTTTTTTTGGAATTTACAACAAAATTTTGGGATGGCAGCTAAAAAAAAATAGTCGCAAAAAAACCCTAATATATATTATATATAATATATACACATACATACGTATAATAAAAATTAAACTATTGCAATTAGATATAATACTTACTTGATGCAGAAATGATAAATGGTTTTGTAGCATCACGAGTTGGGGGTTTTCTCTCTTCTACAAGTTCATGCAACCCATATAAAATACCAAAATTTGTATAATTTAGTAAATAACCGTGTTAATTGCAAAAATATTATACATAAAATAAATATAGCTGTTCTTGTCATTTATGGAGTACAATTATGTAGGTAAGTTTTTGTTCAAATGCTCTTATAATGAACTAGTAGTAAGTTTTACACTATTTACATGACTTCAGGTTACTCCCACTTGGATGTCTTGACTGGTTCGCCAACGTTTCGGATTATTCAGGAAGAAGAAGATATCAAAGGCACAGTGGTAATTCCGTTTATAAGTGGATTGACCGAACGCATAGCACGAGTAGCAAGAAAATACGGTACAAGGACGGTTTTCCCAACAGTGAAGAAGTTGAAAGAAATTTTCCGGAGTCCAAAAAATGAACTACCGAAACTACAAACACATGGGGAATCTACGGAACTTCAGTATACCTGTGGTACATCGGTCCAACAAAACGACCTTAAGTCATGTAAATACAATACCCCACCAAAGTTTCAAAAATTTTTTTAGTAGTAAGTTATACTGATGTATTAATTAAACAAGTATATGCCTTGTAAATGTTCACTACTCTTAAGTGCCAGGCAATATGTTTTAAAATTATAGCGAAGTTTGTTTCACAGACGCCATTGAATAATTTATTTTTCCTTTAACAAATAAAAAATATAACCTAAGCATAATATTCTGCATTGTAGCTAAGCAACGACATATATATCACTGATTCATTTGCATAAATTAATGGTACATTTTTAATATCATAACTAATACGGTTTTTATAAGCCTAATTTTTATGTTTTATATAATTCTAATAACTACCCGTCGTATCACGTGTGCAACAAAGATTTCTCATTGCAGTACGTACTAGACCTCTCGGTCTACCTAGTAAACAAAAATTATGAGTTCAGGTACAAAAAAATTTCAAATAATAAAATTAGCATAAATAAAAATAAAATATGCAACTTAATAATCGTCATTATTTAATAATAAATGGCGACACCATCTTCAAATGTAGCAAGCAAACGGATAGCAGATGGTTTTTTATTAAACCGTCTTGTCTGACGGTTAAAACTCAAAACGCTAATACGGTAGTATAGTCTCGGTTTCAACATTTTTTTTAAAAAAACAAGAAAAACTTTCAAAATGTATTGCTAATAATATAGTTTGAATAATTAAAACATAATAAATTATTCCTCTATATTTAGTACATTTATCTTCATTTTGTCTTATATGAAGTTATAGCGGACCTATAAACCTATTGACACTTATTTGGTTAATATATTTCAAATTGAGAATAGTATTTTACCTATTAACAAATAAATGCGTAATTACCTTTTTTAGTAGCAGAGACACCTTTAACAAAAATATTAAATAATTAAACAGAAAAAAACTAATTTTATATTTTATCTATAACAGTATCTAAAACTACATTTATTTAGACTAGTTATTCGCCGTTTAAATAATTTTTATACTTCAAAAAAATCATCAAAACTTTTGGTAAGAAAACGTATAGCTTTAAGATGTAACAACTCAAATTGAATTTTCATCTAAGTTGCCTGGAAATAAATTACTATCATTTTTGAAATTGTATAATTACAAATTATTATATTTACCTAACAAAGTAGTTATTACTGTTTGTAATTCAATTTGGAGATCAATGCATTCTAAAATTTAAAAACAAAATAGCTCATTAAAAGAAATTAATTTTAATTAATATTTACAATATTTGTGTACTACTTTTTTTGAGATTAAAATAAATATGTAAGTACATAATTCTGAATATATATAATTAATTATGTATGTACATCTATAAATATAAAGATTTTTAATGTAAAGTTTATAAGAGTAATTACGCTGCAGTCTTTCTTCGTAGTTTCCATTACTTTCATCAGGGATTGCTTTTGCTGAAATTTTAACGAGATCATTTTATACTTAATATCAAACTACTATGTGCAGACACGTCCATACATTTGAGAACAATTATTACCTGGTGCAGCAAACAAATACGATAGTTTCGCTAAAATTGTGCATTACATAAATATATTAGAGGTATGTACCTAACATAACCCTTTCAAATATTTTGATAATTATAATTACCCATCGGTGTATCTCCACGAACAAATTGTCTAATTACCGGTATCAAACGCACTATAATAAACAAATAATGAGTTGAGGTAATAAACAAATTCTAAATAGTGTTTATTATACCATCACGACATTGCACCCGATGGATTTGTCTATCTGTAATAAATAAATTCAAATATTTAAAATTAGAGTTAAATTTGTATGGTAAAATAAAATTACTTACTTGTAAGAACAAGCTCCTTTTTATATTCAACTGTGAAAAAAATAATTATTATATTTTTAATTACCTCGAGTAGGCAAGTGTAAAAAATAAAATAAACCATAATCACTTATTTTATCATCTGCTAAAACATTGACCATAACGAATGATATTAATAAACAAAAATTTGTCATTTTTATCTGCAAAAAATAATAGAAATAAAAGCCTTGTGTTTTAGACATAGTCTTCAATTAATTATTGGCTCTGATGCGAAGCTGAGTAGGTTTCATATTAAAATGATAACTTCTAAATCACTAAACCCATATCTTGATGGAGTTAATCTGTAGATAAGTAATCGTACTTGAGACATACTTCTCGGATAAATTGGTCAAAGTTAAATAAATTAATCCATACAAATTTGTAATTAATTTATTATTTTAAAAGTTATTGAAGGGAATTAAAATTAATAAAAACACATCGTCGAAAGAAAATTGACTTCTCAGCTTCGCATCAATGTTTAAATCAAATTATGCTTATTATTATTTTACATGAAGTTTTTGAAGTGTTTTTATTTGTAAGTATCAAATCTAAAGAATATGTCATATCAATCAAATTATCAAAAAAAAAATTTACATATTTCATAAACGTTTATTTAAAACTTAAAAAAAATTGTTTTGTTTCATAAGTTGAGACGTATACAAACTTTTTTACTATTTTTCTGATTTTTAATGAAACTTTTTAAATATTCGGCCAAATGGGGCACAATTTGGGTTCGATTTCTGGTCTATAGACATGCTACACGACTAAAACGGTGAAAAATTGTTGCAATATATTAATAATGAAATTATCTTACCTGTCCACTTATTATTATAAGTTGATAGGTTAGGTTAGGTTAGATTGTATATCTAAACTAAAAAAATAAAAAATAGAAAATAAGAATAATTAAATAAAAATGCATTAATTACTTATTAGCTTTGTAATTTTAATAGAACTCTCATGAACTTCTATGTTACAACAACCGTTCTAAAGTGATCGTTTTGTGGCTTGTTCTCGAAATAGTAAAACTGAAATAAGCTGTATACAGTGCGCAAATATATATATTATATTTATAAAGGTATAAAGGAATGTATAGACTATGGTTTTTATTTTCCAACACAGTACTGTGAGCTATTACTCATATTAGGTTGTTCACATCGATACGAAACTAAAATAAGACCTTAAAAAAAAAATATTAGATTATAAATAATTATACTAGTACGTTTTTTTTTTATATCGATACGAATTTGAAGTAAATAAGACCCACAAAATATGTTTACTAGGTTTGTGTTTTTTTACACACTTTATAGTTGGTTGTAATACAGTAGCGTATTTCATACGGATAAAATTCTCATAGTTTTTTTTTAAATACAGAACCAACGAGGGGGAACTGTTTTCCACATTACTTTCCCTCGTTAGCCGTCAGGGTTAGGCGCCTATTCTCCTCCTCCTTCTAGCCCTTTTCTCCGTTTAAATGATAAAAAGATGGGTAGTACCTTCTGCCTTTCGAAACTTAACCCTCTCTCTGTCTCTTGGGTTAATAAGTCCGCTGGTGGCATACAGGCCAACGTCAGGGCCGCATCGTCAGACACGGCGCGGTAGGCTCCGATTACACTTGACCGCTTCCAATGTTTGATTTACAGTTGCTTCTAGCATTGGGGTATCTTTTGCGGTAGCAACAATTGCTAAATCGCCTGCGAACCCTGCCAACTTGACATGTTCTGGCATAGTGATCCTGAGAAGATTATTGTGAAATACATTCCACAGTGCCGGTCCCAATACTCAACCTTGGGGAACACCACTAATTATACTCCGTTCTCGGCTTACTTGATCGCTGCCATAGTCTGTCTTTGCTATTCTGTTATTCAGTCCTTGTTCTTTCGCCACACAAGCCTTATGAGTGGACTTGTAGGGCTTTCCACAGTTGATACATTTGGTCTTTTTTGGTACAATTATCCTCGTTACGGTCCTTTGACGCACAGTGACCACATGCGATGTAGCCTGATCTGCACTTAGCATACCTAAACCTGACCCATACCTGACCATACCTAAAGCATTTTAGGCATAGGGCGATACCCATATATTCTACGATCCTCACTCTTGAGCAGTTGAGGAACCATCTCTTATCCACAATCGTTTTGTATATGGTTGGGTGTACCTCACACACCCACCATACTAACAAACTTTATCTCTCACACCACACACGGGTCAACGTTATCAACTGACACCTGTTATTAGCTTCTTTTCGTTTATGACATCTGGTACACCGTGTTTGCAGTTAAGTAATAAATATTCCTTATAAATTTCAACTCGATCCGACTCTTTTTCTCGAAATTATAGCCAGTAAAAGTTCTATCTTCAAATTTGAACTGCGAAGAAGTAAACTTTATCAACTGTTACCCCCCCCCCTCCCCCAAGTACCAACTAGATAAAATTTGTGATTTATAGAGTTCCCACTCGAAGGAATTGGTCCAGTATTAAAAAAGTTACAGTGTGTACAGACACAACAAAAGAGTGGATGTTAGGAGGAATTAGAGTTAGAGTTGATAAGGGATAAGCTATAACGGTTATCTAAACAATCTGTAGTAATCGAAAAACTACTTTTTTATTTAATAATGAAAAACCCCAAAAAATTGGACAGTTACACATTGGCTGTAGTGAAATTAGGAGAGGTGGAGAGGTAAATTTATGTTTGAGAATTTTGTCGGGTAGGATGCCGTTTGAATATCGACTCTACCCAACTTATTTTTTCCCAAAAGTTAGAAAAATCTGATATTGTTATGATAATTTACACAAATTAAGAATTTTAACAAAAATGTTACTTCAGAGGGTTTTGCACCTTTGCCCCGACCCCTCTGTGCCGTGGCTTAATCTAGCCCATTGTTTAGTGCTTATACACACACAAACACTAATTCAACGTCAAGTACATAATGTACAAACTTCTGTTTTTTTTTTTTTTTAATTACTGTCTGGTTATTATTAATCACAAGCTGAGAACAATCCCGAATTAGACATACCATTTTATAGGTTTTGTTTACACAAATGTCTTAATAATAAGTTTTTTTTTAACTGCTATATCATTTGATCATCCATGAAAAAAATGTACTTAACTTTTAGTAAAACACCGTGTAGAAATTCTAGACAGTGTTTACGCATTGTCTTATTTGCAATTTAATATTTGTGTTATGACTACCGGTAACTCTTAAAATTACAAATAGTTATGTTAGAATACAGGGTGATCCAACTAACGTAAGACACTATTTTTCATTGAAAATATGAATATTTTGAGGATTTTTTTTTTCCTTAACTTTTACTTACATATTTTACTACATTTTTCAATACTTTGAAAATGTTTATCATCAATCCTTATAAGCCAAAAAAGCGAATTTTTGTTTTTTCTAATGGCAACATATGTTTTTAATTAAATAAATTTGTAGACAAAAAATTTAAAAATATGTTAGCGTTTGAATTTTTTTATTTTCACATATCTGTTCATTAGCTATGACTTTGTAAAGAATCTAAATTTCCTCTCAATAATCGTCATATTACTTCGGTTATTTTATTAAACAACTATTTTTAAAGTTAGAAGAGCTTAAAATTTAGGATGGGAAGGAAAGTGCGGTTGGGAAATGCGCGCAGATAAAAATAAAAATACACTCCACCTTTCCTCCTGCCCTAAACTTGAAACTTCAATAACTTCAAAAATAATTATCCGAAACTCGTCATCGACCAGTCAAAATCTCTAGTACATTATTATAAATTTAAAAAGTTCATAAAATATATACGTTACCTTTTAAATTTCAAAGATTGCTATAGTTAGAAGAGGGTAAAAACAAAAACAAAATTGTGAATAATTGAGATTACATTGTATAAAAACAATATGAAAAAAAAACGGAGAAGCTAGTGAATACTTTTTACTATATTAATGATATGTTTCTAATTGGTCATCCCCAATGCGATTGACTGGGTGTACTTTTTTGTCTATACCAGTTAGACGACACTCATCACCAACAACTTCAGCTAGTGTTATAAAAAAAACATTGGGTGTAATATACGTCTTCTGTAAACACCTTTCAACCGACACATCGGGTTACAATCTCCAAAGTCTTCATGGCATTGTCCTTATACGGCTGTCAATACTTTCTTCATAATTAATAACATTAAATATGTTTATTCAATAAATTTACAAATAGAATATTTTTTCACTTCAGCCAGTTGTTAATGTAAAAACGTTAAGCTCTGGTGCTTCTTTACAGTTTACATGCATGTACTTGTTCTGCCTATTTATTGCGCCGTTACCAAAACCAGAAATCTTTTCATCTCGACAGTATCGAGAATAATTTTTTTATTTCCAAGTTCTACAAAGTGTCGCATTTAAAATTGTTTAGGTCTTGAAATGGATCCAGATCTTGTGAGTCATTTTAATTTTCCAAAAGATCCGCTCAGGCTAGCCATTTTTAAACGTTACACATTTCAAAACGGATTTTTGTATTTTTTTAAATGTTTATACTATTTTTAAATAATAAAAATTGTAATTAATTTTTGTTTTTTTTTTTTTTTTTAATTGTGTGCATGATTACTCCGACGAATGTACAATAGTAACCTAAATTTGCTATTAATAGATAATTTCGAAAAAAGGCAACTATAAACTATGAAGACTAGTTGTTCAGACACAGGGGTTGAGTGGATTATAATAATCCATTAACGAGGATGATACCAAATATATTTACCCATCGGTGTATCTCCAACAACAAATTTTCTAATTACCGGTATCAAACGCACTAGAATAAACAAATAATGAGTTGAGGTAACAAATAAATTCTAATAATAAGTGTATATTATACCATCACGACTTTGCAGCAGCTGGATTTGAGTATCTGTAATAAATAAATTAAAATAAATACATGCAAATATTTAAAATTAGAGTTAAATTTGTATGATAAAATAAAATAACTAACTTGTGTAGACAAGCTCCCTTACATAGTCCTCTGTAAGTTCTGTAGTTGATCATTTAATTATTTTAAGATTTTAATTACCTCGAGTAGGTCAGTGTAAAAAATAAAAATAATTACCTATTGTATGATCTGCTAAAACATTTACCATAACGAATGTACATATTTCATAAACTTTTTGAATTAAAATAAAAAAATTGCTTTGTTTCATAAGTTGAGAAATATACATATTTTTTGATTATTTTTTTTTTGATTTTGAATGAAACTTTTTAAATATTGTGGCAAATGAGGCACATTTTGGGTTCGATTTCTGGTATTAAGCATGTCTATTGAGACATGCTACACGACTAAAACGGTGTAAAATTGTTGTGATATATTATTAATGAAATCATCTTACCTATCCACTTATTATTATAAGTGAATAGGTTAAGTTAGGTTGTATATCTAAACACAGAAATAGAAAATAAGAATAACTTTATAAAAAGTACATTCATTACTTATTAGCTTTGAAATTTTTGTAGAACTCTCGTGAACTTTTATATGTTAAAACAACAGTAAAATCGGTATAACTTTTTCAGTGCGCTAATAAATTTTTTTTTACAAGTGTACACACCGATACGAAACTTAAATAATAAGACGCTAAATAAAATGTCTTTATTAATACTGTCGAACACGTTAAATAGTAAGAAAAATTTGGATACAAAGACCATTATCAAGCGTTTTTATACTAGTACGTTTTTCATATCGATACCTTAACAATAAATTACATTTTTAAAAAAAACATTTGAATTCTTCACAACATTTTCAAGACAACGGTCGTGGCACAATTTAAAACTATTTTTAGTTAATTGATTATATCAGTTGAAAAAAGTTAAAAACAGCATTTTTTTATAATGAAATAATTAATTGACTGAAAATAATTTAAAAAATGGGCTACGAATGTACAATAGTAACCTAAATTTGCTATTAATAGATAATTTCGAAAAAAGGCAACTATAAACTATGAAGACTAGTTGTTCAGACACAGGGGTTGAGTGGATTATAATAATCCATTAACGAGGATGATTAAAAGAACTAAAACAATTTTCAAGACCACTTCGAATCGAATATGTGTACAGGTAAAAAGCAACAAATGAGTTTATAATCGTAAGTAAAACGATTTATTATAAGATACATTAAATTTGATAATTTGGATACAATTGTGGTTTGGAATAATTATTTAAATATAATAACAATAGTACTGTATACATTTTAATGAGTTAATGTCTAAGATAAATGGTGTAAATGATTAAAATCGAGAAGCAAGTGAATACTTTTTACTATATTAATGGTGTTTTTCTAATTAGTCATCCCCAATGCAATTGACGACGATTGTATTTTCGTGATAATCGGTTAGACGACACTGATCACCGACTACTTCAGCTAGTGTAACAAAAGAATCCGGGTGTAATATAGTTCTGTTTACGCCCTTCAACCGACACATTAGGTTACAATCTCCGTAGTCTTCATGGGCCGGTCCTTAAAAATGTTAAAAAGGTATATTTAAAAATTGTCCGATCCTAACTTACTAGTTACTACATTTATTCAGTGTGTAAGGCGTAACCAACACACGTGATTAATGCTATATACAGACGATCCTAAGCTATGTTACTCTAAGTCAATAACATTTTCAAATGCAGGTAACACCTTATATACCTATATAAGACACCTCATAACGTTTGTAGAAAATTTACTTTTAAATAGGCAAACCATAGTATTATTTATATAAACTTGGAAAATTATAAATATATCAAAAAAGTAAAAAAAAATATATACATACTTGATGCAAGATTGATATATACTTTTATAGCTCCACGAGTTAGGTCTTTTCTTTCCTGTCCAAGTTTCACAAACACACGAGAGTCATACAAGTAAAATGACTCTGTACAATTTAATAATAAACCGTGTTGATTACAAAAATAGTGTAATAATTGCTCGTGTCATTAATGTAGTACAATTGAGTTTTTGTTCAAATGTTCTTATGATGAACTAGTAGTAAGTAATTTTGCTATACTTATGTATTAATCAAACAAGTATATGCTTTGTAAAATAATAATAACTATTTTGTAAATAATAACTACTTTTAAGTCCTAAGCAATATGTTTTAAATATATAGCAAAGTTTGTTTCACATATTCCATTGAATAATTTTTTTTTACAATTAAAAAATATAACGTAAGCATAATAATCAGCATTGTAGCAAAGCAAAGATATATCACTGATTTATTTGCACAAATCAACCGTACATTTTTCTTTTTTTTATCACAAATGATACCGTTTTATAAGCTTTATTTTTGTTTTATATGTATAATTATATTAACTACCCGTCGAATCACGTGTCCAACCCAGACTTCTCATTACAGTATTTAGTAGACCTAGTAGAAACAAATTATAAGTTCAGATACAAAAAAGTTTCAAATTATAAAATTGGCATGAATAAAAATAAATAATGCAACTTAATAATCGTCATTATTTAAAAATAAATGTCGACACCATCTTAAAATGTAGCAGACCAACGGATAGCAGATGGTTCTTATTAAAATTTACTTTCCGCTAATGCGGTGGTATAGTCTAAGTTTGAACAAATTTTTTTCGAAAAACAAGAAAAACTTTCAAAATGTATTGCTAATAATATAATTTTAATAATTAAAACATAAAAAGTTATTTCTCTATATTTAATACATTTATCTTTATTTTGTTTTTTATGCGCTTATAAATCTATTGACACATATTTAGTAAATATATTTCAAATTAAGAATAATTTTTTTACTATTAACAAATAAATGCGTAATTACCTCTTTCAGGAACAGAGACACCTGTATCGAAAATATTAAATAATTATACAAAAACCCCCCCCCCGTCTTATATTTTATCTATAACAGTTATTAAAATTAAATTTATTTAGACTAGTTATTAGCCGTTTGAATAATTATTGTACTTGAAACATTCATCAAAACCTTTGAGTAAGAAAACATATAGCTTTAAGATAGGTTCAAATCAAATTTTCATCCATTTTGCTTAGAAATAAATTACTATATTACCTAGCAAGTTAGTTATTTCTGTTTGTAGTTTAATTTGAGAATCTTTGAGTTCTAAAAATAAAAATAAAAATTAACTCATTAAAAAAAGTGTATTTTAATTCAATTTTACAATATTTGCGTACATATCTTCTTGAGATATAAATAAATATGTAAGTACATAATCAATCTGAATTTATATAAGTTATGCATGTAAAGATTCTAAATTAAAAATGTTTAAGAGTAATTACCCTGCAGTATTTCTTCGTAGTTTGCAACGCGTTCATCGATTAGCGATGGTACAAGCAATGGCATTGCTAGTGCTGAAATTTTAACGAGAACATTTTATACTTAATATCAAACAACAATGTGCAGACACGTCCATAAATTTTAGAAAAATTATTACCCGGTGCACCAAACATATGCGACAGTTTCACTAAAATGTGCATAACATAAATTTATAAGAGATATGTACCTAACATAACACTTTCAAATACTCTCATAAATATATTTACCCATCGGTGTATCTCCAACAACAAATTTTCTAATTACCGGTATCAAACGCACTAGAATAAACAAATAATGAGTTGAGGTAACAAATAAATTCTAATAATAAGTGTATATTATACCATCACGACTTTGCAGCAGCTGGATTTGAGTATCTGTAATAAATAAATTAAAATAAATACATGCAAATATTTAAAATTAGAGTTAAATTTGTATGATAAAATAAAATAACTAACTTGTGTAGACAAGCTCCCTTACATAGTCCTCTGTAAGTTCTGTAGTTGATCATTTAATTATTTAAAGATTTTAATTACCTAGAGTAGGTCAGTGTAAAAAATAAAAATAATTACCTATTGTATGATCTGCTAAAACATTTACCATAACGAATGTACATATTTCATAAACTTTTTGAATTAAAATAAAAAAATTGCTTTGTTTCATAAGTTGAGAAATATACATATTTTTTGATTATTTTTTTTTTGATTTTGAATGAAACTTTTTAAATATTGTGGCAAATGAGGCACATTTTGGGTTCGATTTCTGGTATTAAGCATGTCTATTGAGACATGCTACACGACTAAAACGGTGTAAAATTGTTGTGATATATTATTAATGAAATCATCTTACCTATCCACTTATTATTATAAGTGAATAGGTTAAGTTAGGTTGTATATCTAAACACAGAAATAGAAAATAAGAATAACTTTATAAAAAGTACATTCATTACTTATTAGCTTTGAAATTTTTGTAGAACTCTCGTGAACTTTTATATGTTAAAACAACAGTAAAATCGGTATAACTTTTGCAGTGCGCTAATAAATTTTATTTTTACAAGTGTACACACCGATACGAAACTTAAATAATAAGACGCTAAATAAAATGTCTTTATTATATGTCGAACACGTTAAATAGTAAGAAAAATTTGGGTACAAAGACCATTATCAAGCGTTTTTATACTAGTACGTTTTTCATATCGATACCTTAAGAATAAATTACATTTTTAAAAAAACATTTGAATTCTTCACAACATTTTCAAGACAACGGTCGTGGCACAATTTTAAAACTATTTTTAGTTAATTGATTATATCAGTTGAAAAAAGTTAAAACAGCATTTTTTTATAATGAAACAATTAATTGACTGAAAATAATTTTAAAAATGTGCTACGACCGATGCTTTGGAAATGCCGTGAAGAGCTCAAAAAAAATGTTAATAAATGTATTCTTAAGTGCAGTACGTTTGAAGTAGAAACATGTGTTTTTGTACAAAAATTGATCCTATTTGCGTTATAAATATTGAAAAAAAATATCAAAAAAGATACTTCTTTCCTATGGTAATAATATGCAATTTTAAAAATTTTAGTGAAAAACATAAAAAATTTAAAAAACTGTTTTTTTTTACAAAGGTTTACATAGTGTATCGCATTTTAATTTGAAACATATACACAGTTTTTTTAATATTTTTTTTCCTGATTTTTAATGAAACTTTTTAAATATTGGGCCAAAAGAGCGAAAATTTAGGTTCGATTACTGATCAATACAAAACAACGGTGTACAATGTCTGTAGTATATTATTAATGAAATGAGCCTAGTGGTTAATAGTTTATAGAAAATCTAAACACGAAAATAAAAAAATAGTAAATAAAACATTTTTTATAAAAATGCAATAGGTACTTACTAGCTTTGAAATTCTGGTGGTAGAACTCTGGTGAACTTGTATGTTAAATCAACCGTTTTATAGCGATTCGTTTTGTGGCTTGTCCTCGAAAATCGGAATAAGTTTTGCAGTGTTCAAGTATTATTTTATTTATACAGGTGTAAAGGAATGTTTAGGCTGTGGTTTTTATTTTCCAACACAGTATTGTGTGCTATTACTCATATGTTGTTCACACCGAAACGAAACTTAAAAATTATGGCCATAATTAAATTATAATATTAGATTATTAATAATTTAAAGTAAATAAGACGAAAAAAATATGTTTGCTAGATTGTTATTTTTTACACACTATCGTTTTTTTTTTTAATATTCTAGCGTATTTCATACGAATAAAATTCAGAGTATAAAATAAAACCTAACGTATTTGAAACCTAAATTTGGATCTCTGGTTAAAATATTCTGCACACGAACAAGAAAATAATTGTACTATTCGTCACGATTCCCAGATACAATAAAAAAATATATTATTATATATATATATTTATATTATACAGTTATTATAGCGTGTATAATGAAACGTTCTCCACCTTAGGTCAGCGGTGTTTTCGCCTTACTATTTACTTTTAAAAAGATAGTTGATATATTCTATTCATTGATAAATACAAAACTTGAACAAAGGTGTCAAAAGGTAAAATAAGTCTCGGAAAAATCATTAGGAATATATTGATGTCATAAAACTCTTCTTAGTTAAGTTTCATTAATAAACCCGAAAACAATTAAAAAATGTATTTTTAATGAAATAAACTCTTATCAACTATAATACGTTATAATCTGTTTCTTATGTAACTACACTCTATGTCATTTTAATACTTTTTTCTTTTATTTCACCAAATTAATCATTGTAATCTACACCTTGTTTACACCATAATGTACTCATCATGCTTGCAAGAACATTTATGCGTTGAAATAATTATACTTTTAATTTACTCAATTTTCCTATTTCTCGAATTTAGCATGTTTGCGAAACTAGATACTGTTTTTGCAATAATGTGTTGATTTTTTTTTTCAATTCTCACATCCTTTTAAACCACTGGATCGATTTCTACATTAGCATAGGTCTTATAATGTAATATAAATAAAAACATAATATAATATTTTGGATTTTGTTTATTGAATTGAATGACAATGTCTAATGAAGCATTAAACGGAATATTAGTGTTATTATAATTATTTCGCTGAGTATTATTATGTTGAACAATAAAACTAATCTATGACTATATCGTTAATTTTTTTTTAATAAATTTTCATTATTTTAAATATATTTTTTGCGTACATCTTGTTGCAGCACCTTATTGGTTAGGTTAGGTTAGGTTAGGTTAGGTTAGGTTAGGTTAGGTGGCTGCATCAAAAGCCGTCTGAAGAGGGATCCTAAAATAAACCTAAGTATACGCATTTTTTAAAGCCATCGAAAAACAATTTCCATTCATGTCCTAAAAATCACCAATATAACATAAACGGCATAGCAAAACAGCGAATTAAAAAGTATTTGGACAAACAATATAATAAATTATGTACATATGTACAATTTTTTGTTGTCAATAACTTGTGGTAGGCAGTGTTTCAATAACGTAATGTGAAATTCAGTTTTATTCAATTGGTTGTTAGAAATATTAAGTTACTTTTAAAATAAATTTAATTAAATATATATATATATTATATATGTATGTATAAATGTACAGGGTGATCCAATTAACGCAAGACACTGTTTTTCTCTGAAAATATGAATATTTTGAGAATTTGTTTTCTAAATTTTTAAGTATATGTTTTACTAAATTGTTCGATGATTTGAAAATGTTTAACACCACTCCTTGTAAGCCAAAAAGGGGGATTTTCGGTTTTTTTAAATAGCAACATATGTTTTAAATTACATAAATTTGTAGACAACAAAGTTAAAAATATGTTAGCGTTGGAATTTTGAATTTTCATTTATTTGTTCATTTGTTATGACTTGTTTGATTTTTTGACTGTATTTCTTAATATTTTCAACCGTTACTACAAAGACGAGTAGTTTTATTAAATAGTTTAAAAATAATATGACGTGTTACCGTACTCTGTATCATAAACAGACATAATATAATCTGTAATCTAAGTAATCCGTAGATAAGAACCGCTTGTCTATCATTATTTCAAAATCTTGTATAGTAAATTCCCAGTTGTTAGAATGTTATCGCCAATTGGCCAATGCCAACATAAATATGAATTTTATGTGCTACCGGTTTTGGAAAACCAAAGAAATATGATAACTATTAAGAAGAAATGTAGTATCTTTACAAAGTCATAGCTAATGAACAGATAAATGAAAAATTCAACGCTAACATTTTTTTTATATTATGTTTATACTATATAAAAATCACATATACCTATTCATATTTTCAGAGAAATTGAGTGTCTTACGTTAGTTGGATCACCCTGTATATGATTTAACTATTATAAAATATAGTTAAAAATCGCATTTACCCGATGAATCTCCGTATTCTATAATTTTATGGAATTTTCCTGAAGTATACATTTCTTCATAAATTGCAATACCAAAGTGTCTCTTGAAGTCACTCAAAGTAATGTAGCGTGGGTTAGCTCTTTCGACACTGCTGAACTGAGTACGTAGCTCCTATAGACATTTTTGAACTTTTAAATTATTTTTTTTTAGAACCGCGTAAACAAATGCTTTTGATTTAATTAGATTATACGTATTTTATATAATCATGTTAAATAATAATAACAAAGATTAATGATCGTTCTAACTTAGGATTAAAGATTTAAATTGAGCGACGTTTAGAAAACCTAAGCCTCAAAACCTAGTCCTCGTCATATAAGTACAATATTTCTTTAAGACTTAACATCTTTAGTTGGTCAAATAACTTCTCAGAAGAATTAACGTTCTTAATAACTAACGTTCATAGTCATCCATCATAGTTTCGCTCATTATTTATTAATAGAAAAATTGATGTAACGAATGCTTTATGTTCTTCGAGTCGGTCAAAACTTTTGTCCCCCATCAAAGAACTTAAATTACGCCACTGTCTAATAGTAAATTTATGTTAACGAATATTTCAGCTGTTTAATCCGATTTTAACTCGATAGTAACTGTTGCACACAATATAATTATCAGAAATAACATGAAAATTACTTATATTTATATACAACTTACATTTATAGGACGATCTGGTATGAGTCCTAGTAAGACCGCATCCTTAAATTCTTGATAAATCATTCTGTACTCTAGAAACATACCCGTTATTATAAAAAAACCATGGTGTTAATTAAATATATATATATATATATATATATATACATAATTTTTATTTACAATATAATTAAGCTAATAACCGAAGTTGTTGAAGTTCTAGTTAGTCCTATATACTACAGTAAGACTTATAGAGTTTATAAGTATATATTTTTTTGACCATCCCGAAATATGAGTGTATTTTTAATTTAATATAAATTATGAAAAAAATTATTTTAGAGTGTTTTTGTTAATAACGGTAGTGTAGACTCCCCTTTAAAAGTATTAAGTGTTAAAAAAAAACTGCATCACCATTACCTCCGTTTTCCGAACGTACGGTTCCCAATAGATTTGTTATGGCAAGCAATTTTGCAGCATCTTCGCCATTAAAATATGTAAGAAGGTTGTCGTAGACTATATAGTTGCATCCGGGAGTTCTTATATCGTTCCATAGTATCTGTATTTGCTAAAATTGGTAAAAAAAAAGTAATACAATAAAAGATTCATACTTTTTCTTAAACTAAAAAGATAAGCATTTTATTTACTTATAAATATACACTTAATAGATTTTACCCACCCCCTCCCAACGTAGTTTTTTTGACAGCAACTTTTGAAACTTAAATGGTACAACGTGTATATTTTAAGATAGTGAGTGGTTTACGATAAGTGGATCACCCTGTACATTAAATTATTAACTAAAAAATACCTCTTCTGTGATAGAGTTAACTGTTTGAGTATAAAATGTTACACACACTAAAATCGAATATTTTATATTCATCATTTCTACTATTTTTTCGCTTTCAATAAGGCTACCAACTTTATCTGAACTCTACTACACAATGATTCTTATGCTCAATATAACAGGCAGTTTTATGGTAAAAGTTTTAGATCAAACATTTGTTTACTATATTTAAATATTTCAAAGAAAATCACACTGCAGTTCACTGCGCAAACACAAAAAAATTCAACCGAAGAGTGTACTGTTTGTTTAACATGACATGACTGTGTTATTGATTCAATAGAAAACTTTTAGAATAATAATTTTCTAAACGTTTCTTTGGAACTATTTTTTAGTATTCCAATGTTTGAATTGCAATCCAACGGAAAAGTCAAAATGAAGATATGTAGAAACTTTGAAATCAGTTGACAACTACTACATTTTTATCTATGTAAACATTAGAAAGAAAACCGCAAAATGTCCAAAAACTTGATTTTCTCGTATTTAGATAAGAACGAACTCTCTTTCTATAGGTTTAAACATAAGCAACATTTTTTTTAACGCCCTTTATTATAAAAGAGTTTATTTAAAAGTGATTTTATCCGAGAGGACTATTACAGTAGAGTATAGGCATAATGAAATCAAAGCAACGAGGGGACGGAGAGGTCACAGGTCTACAGGAATTATTCTAAATAAAAGTGATAAAAATGAATAAAATCACTTTCAAATAAACGCTTTGATGCTTATTTGTAAACACAGCACCTCAATTTAATACTTTCTAACTTTGCTGGTTTATACTGTGCTTGGTTTGGACTGTACTGGCTTGAAAATACTAACTACCGATTTGCATCGAAGCGTACTTCGAAAGTGATTTTATCACTTTCAGATTTAAAAATTCCTGTAAAACTGTGACCTCCCCGTTCCCATTATGCCCCGGCCCAACTATGCTCCGTCCCCACCATGCCCCGACCCCACTGTACTGGTTTTTTTGTTTTGTTAATGTTTATCGATAGAACTATGTGTGAAGTAC